AGTACATCCTTACCAGAGTACATCCTTACCAGAGTACAGCCTTACCACATGACTGGACCACCTCAACTGACTCCTCTGGATGTGGAGGAGCAGCGGTTCAACTCCAAGTCTCCCATGAATAACTGAACCTCTCACCCTGTCTCTACGGGAGAGTCCAGCTACCCTGCCGAGAAAACTCATTATTCCCGTCTTTATTAGAGATTTCGTTCTTTCGGTTCAACCCGGACATGTGGGGTTAGTAAATCTTGGTAAACAGGCACCACAACGGACCGACAGAATACGCAATAGATTTGAAAATACAAACTTGGAATTTCAAGCCAACCATACACTCAATAGTTTCAGAAATGTTGAGGGGGAAAAAAAAAACAAATCTTAAGGAACAAACAAACAACACTGTCCTGAAAAAAATTTGAAACCCAGCAGATTATTGGACGACAGGCAAGGGTGACGTGATTAAGGAGTTTCCACCAAAGATTTTCCAAGAAAGGACGTGTTGGGCTGCAGAGACCACCCCTTCTTCAAGCTGCAGTTTGTTCGGACATAAACCAACGGAAAAGGTCCGGTTCAGCTGCGCAGCGTGCTTACACTCATAAATCAAAACACATGGACTGTCTGTGCCAAACACGAGGAAACAGCATCCAGGCTGTCATCAGTAAAAGGTGCCGTAACTTGTAGGAAGGTAAATTATTACCCACAGGATGTTCTTTAGTCAGGGGGTCAAGGATGCTTTGCAGCATAAAGGTTGCAGGTTTGACTCCTGACTGGTCTGCATGGAGATTGTGTGTTCTTAGTACAGTCTGTTAAAATGTATGTAAGTTTGAATTTGGTTTATTTTGGTAGATCATAACCACTATTGCTGAATAAAAACTACAAAAGGTAACATCTAAATTGCACTTAATCCTCCTTGTGGGTCATTTTGACCCAAGGGCAGCTGGAGGGTTAATTACATTAGTTGAAATTAAACCAATTCCTGTCATTTCTTAAACAAACAGTTCAATCTGAACTGTTCTTTTAAACATTTTACTCATTTAAATCAAACATTTTTCCACTAATTATAGTGGAAATTTTAAAAAAAGAAATAAAGTTTCAAGTTATTCTTGTTACTCAGCTACAGACGGACATACATTTCTCTGAAAATCTGCGAGAATAAAAGTGTGTAGAATTACAATGAATTGATTTGTGACGACACAAATCAAAATTTTTTTTGTGCTTTTGTTTGTTACAAAAAAGTTCAAACTGAAAAACAAGAGTTTTCTGTTTTTATGGATTTTTATGAACGCTTCAATAAGCGTCAGTCGACAAACGGTTAATTTAGATTAAAATAAAAGGTTGTACCGTTTAAAGAGGGGTCCGGTTTTCCAGATGTTGGTGTTGCCCACGCAGCCCCTCGGAGGTTCGGTGATGTTCTCCTTCTCGAACAGCTCCTGGATGGACTGGGCCACCACGGCCACGGCGTCGTTGATGTGAGCCGACTCGTTCTTCCCGTTGATGAGCTGGAGGGCGATCAGACCTGAGAGCACAACGGGCAACCTGAGTCTCCCGCCAGGGCAACGCCGTCAGAGATCTAACTCGACCCGTTTCTTACCCTTCAGGTTGGGACCTTTAGCTCCACGAGCAAAGAGTTCAGGAATCTGAACAGATTATTTGTATTTATGCTAAACAACAATACATTTATTATCTCTATGAAGAGTCTAAATTCTGCTATTTTTGCCTGTTCTAATGTTTCTTTGTCAGTGCTGTTTGCAAAATATCTTGTGAATCACACAACTGATTTTTTTAAACATTCAGAAAATACTCATTAGGTTGACCTCTACGAGAGATTAGCTATTGAAGCCAATCCAATTCAAAATGGCCGCTACAGCAAAGCGATCTGAGCAAACCACAGCTCGGTTAATTTTACAGACATGGAGCTAAAATTGAGATTGAGCCAAAAATTATACACTGAATGCTAGCAGATCACATGACATACTTGTTTAAACTTCGTCATTAACTATTGGAGTTAACCATGTTTGTCTGTTAGCAAAATATCTACTGAACCGCTGAATAGATTTTCATGAAACTATCAAAGTAATTACTGGTTGTTTGTCTACAGCTGATTAACTTCTGAAGCCAACCCAATTCAAGATGGCTACCACAGACAAGCGACCTTAAAAACACAAAAATGTCTATAAGTCAGTCGATTTTACAGATATTGAGCTAACATTTTGTGTGGTAGTAGCTGAGAGTTGTACGATCATGCGATCCACCAGCTGCTAACATTAAATTGTTGTAATCCTGCGTGAGTTCTGCGCAGCTTTGGTTAGTTCTGCTGGTTCTGATCTCTGCAGGATGAACGTACCGTCCGGCGCCTCACTCAGGGCTTTACCCGACATCTCCCGCTCGCCCACCAGCCACACGTAGCCCGAGCCCGTCATGTTCAGGAAGCGGGCGGCCTTGTACACGGCGGCGGCGTCCTCCTCGCTACAGACACGAGCAAAGACACAAACAGGGTCAGAATACGTAGGGCGTTCATTAGTCCGTCTGTTAGCAAAATATCTCATGAACCAATGGACGGGTTGCACTGAAACTCTCCTAAAGCATTCACTGAACATAAAACTACAACTCAATCCAGTTCAAGATGGCTGCCGCAGCCTATTTTCAGCTAGAATCTGGAGTGGTAGTAGCTGAGAGGCATCCCCGACACACACTCTGAGCACCAACAGATATATTTTTTTACTTTATTCAACAAAGCTCATGAATTTCTCCTCAGACAGAGAAAATGGAAACTGTTTTTGATCCGGCTCAGGTGTAGTCTGCCATCTTTAAAGTCTCACCTGGCGGACAGGATGATGACGCGGGCCTCCAGCTCCTTGGCCTCCAGCAGCAGGGCGGTTAGGTTAGTCTCCTGACTGAACTGTAGGACTTTCTCTGCCTGTGGTTGGGGCATAAGAAAGGTCAAGCCAGCTACTTTTCCCAGCCACAGACACCGTGCTGCCTCGTCGCCTGCGTGGATCGAGCTTGGACGATTTTAGTTTGAAAAAACGAGAGACAGAGATCAAAAGGGAAGCGATCCAGGGGGAACCGGCTCAACTAAAAAAATAAAAAAAAGCTTGAAGGGGAAAAAATAATCAAACTTTTGCATTTGTTCGCATGCAAACTGAGGGTTATCAAGGCTCCAAAGAAGAACGTGCATGTGTTAGGTAGAAGGGAAGAAGAAGGTCAATGCAACCAGTAACTCAAATCAAGTGGAAGAGGGGAGAGGGGACGTCAACCCTCCAAAAAATAAGAAAAATGAACAAACTGTTTCAGCTAGGAGGTGCTACAGAACGGAAGGAAGTAGCATCTGGGAAATCAAGTCCCACACTGCCGGTTCTCCACACAGGAACGGACTTGCAAACTCTTTCTGTGTGCGTGTGTGCGTTTTGAGGACATGCATTTCTTTATTGAAGGAGAAAATGAAAATGATAAAAAGCGGGGGGGCGCTAGTTTCTTTTCTTTTTTCTGTAATGACCGAAAAAATATTGCTTCTTGTTCTCATAACAAAACCATTCAGTTTTTTTTTTTTTTTTTTAAATCATAGGGACATATCTGAAAGGAAAATTAAAAATAAATAAAAAATGACGTGCTACCAAGAGAGGGGCATTTCTGGGTCGGCCGGTGACTGGTTTGGGCTGGTTTCTAGTTGCTACGTTTGGAAAGTTGGTGGGCGGCGTGCACTGACCATGCAAATATACCTTAGGTCCTCGCTTGTTGTCAAAGGACAGTTGGTCGAGGTTTTCATAGTTCCTTTTTTTATTCTGATGAGTAATGTGCACAGAGAAAATATGCAGACACAGAAAAATATTATAAACAGTTGAAAATGGAGGGCAGTAAAGCATTCCAACAAATCTCCACTTTTCTGCTTCAAATTGGGACCTTTAACACCGGGGCTCGCAAAAACACCCGCGTCCGGTACAACATTTACCGTTTTGAAAGATTTCGCTAGATTTTTATTACAATGCGTCTCTGAGTTAAACATTTACGACCTCCTAAAAAACTAACTGTAATGCAAGTCATTTTTTTTCCCAAAACAAAATGTTTTTAAAACCAATGGAACAGTTTTACAAAGAACCACCTCCAGAATACGCAGGTACACTGATATACAGTAAAGTTTTAAACTTTCAAGCAAATATGCCATAATTATTCCTGATATAAACATATTTTATGATTTCTAAACTAAACAAAATCATTATAGGCATGTCTGAAATCTCTTTCTTTACGCTGCAAGTCCTTTTAATTTGATCTTATCTATCACATATGGCGTTAACCTCCAACCAAGTCATTTATGAGCACATGACTGAGAAATTCACCAACTTTATTCTTTAACTATCAAACACTGGATGGTTTCATTTTGGCTTTATTAAAAAAAATAATCCCAAAATCAGACTCAGCTTCCTTTAATAGCCAATAACCAATGAGAAAGCTCCTTCAAAACATTTCTGCCCGGAGACACAAATTTAAAGGATCCGATTGGATAACTTTTATTTTCATGAATTAAAAACGTTTCTTGCTTAACTTCAGAGTAGTTTACAAAAATAAGAGAAAATAGAAAAAAAAAAAGAATTCTACACTTCTAATATATATTTATATAAAATAAATATTAAATAAAAATTTGAATGTAACACTTCATACGTGCTGGATTCTTAGGCCTTCTCTGAAGGCACTGAAGGCCCTGAACAAGATATAATAAAACATGTGGTCCTTTATAAATTAAAATAAGACGCAATACAAGTTGATAAAACAAATTTAACTATCTAAGTTCTGTCTCGTGTCCTGTGAGACGCCTTCAGTACTGCCTGAAACAGGGAGCCACTTTACAGAGAAAATGAACTGAATGAAAATCTTTTTGCCTCACAGCGTCCTCAGGCAGCTGCCACGAGTTCACAGCTCTGTCCCTTCATAAACACTAGACTGACTGCACATCGATACAATGTTCAGCCGGCAAATAAAACACCGGGCAAACCCTGTCCAATAACTCATGTGTGTAACGCTCCGCTCCGCGGGGACCCATTACACAAGCAGGCCTAGTGTATAAACGTGTCACACTTTTACATTTGAGTTACGTTAAATGCTGGAAAATCCTCATTAAATGAGGTCGTAATGGTAAAAAAGCAAACCAGCAGTCAGAAGGGTAGGTTCAATTATTCACTTAAAAAAAAACACTTGTAAAGTAAAATACAGAACCTTTTTAAAGTTCCAGCTGCAGTCTTTCATCAATAATTCACTTCTTTTTGGTCATTGTTGCTCTCCAAACCCACTGTGATCAAAGTTTATCTTCTGGTGGAAATGCTCGATTAAGGTTTTGTCTTAAAACACGTTCCGAGTCTGCACAAAGTGACAGTTTTAACATGCCAAATATTCTTATGTTAAAGTAGGGCTATGTGGAAACATTACAAACAATTAATATTTTACCTGTCGTGCATGATATCTGATTGAATGGCCTTGAGTAGAAGACATTTGGTGGAATTGACGAGCTGCTAACGTGGATTGCTGCCATTTTAAAATCTGTTTTTTATGTCTTATCGGATTTAAAAGCTTCTGTCAGATCAAATTACAAGTTCTTTCCTGCAGAAATATAATCATAGGCAAAACGACGAAGGGTCATAGTTAAAGACAAGTTATTTTCAGATGCCACCTTTGAGCTGAGACGTTGCGGCGCTGCGTCACATGATGTCACAGGACTTTAGATACCAGAACAAACCGGACATTTGGAGGGTTTTCTCACTGAATGCAGTCCGAGTATCAATAATTTACAGCTTCTCCAAAATGCCCCAGGCTCTTTGCTCCCCTTAGGCTTTTTCCCCCCATCTTTTCAATAAACGTCATTTATTAAAACTGGTGCAAACCAACTTGATCTTTAAACCAGATTATGTGATTCAAATCAGGTTGATGAAGGAAAACAACTGCACGTGAAACGTGTTGAATTTTAATAGTTTATCGACAGCAGTGGAGCTCTGCAGAGAGCAGCAAACTCGGTATGAGACTTTCGATACGTCGCTCGTCGGATCAATTTTTAGCTGGATTTTGTCTCGTTATGGGAGCCGCAGAGACACATTACCAGCAGGCACGTTTACTTTACCTTCCCTGAGTTTTATGCATAAAAATGACTGCATAAAAACAGATATATTTTCAAGTAGAACCTCGGAAAAACCGCTCCGACCGGCTCTGCGGTGGAACCTAAATATATTCATAATTGGAGTCTCGCAGGAGGAAGCGATGGCAGGAACTTCTCTCAGCTGCGACATGAATGGGGGCACAGATGGGCTCGCTTTGAAATCCAAACGGAGCATAAAACAAAACTATCTGGATTCCTATGAAAGGCCTTTGATGTTTGTGTTCAAATGCAGGAAATGAGTCTTATCGAGATTTGGATCTAATTCTTAACGTGTGAACGGTTGCACCAATCAGTCAGATTTTTTAAAGTGTTTTCCTGTTGGCGAGTCACTCCGATCCAGTAATCTGAGCAGCTTTCACGTCGACTTCTGCTTCCGTCGACTAGCAGCCCCGGGCGTGTGTCATACTCGGCGTCTCTTCGGCTTTTTTGATTTAATTAAATCTCTGAATCAGGACTCGTTTCACTTGACCACACAATTACAGCAAAGAGCCCCAGAGAGGAAGGAGCGCGGCGAAGTAAAAACCATGTCCCCAGCGTGATTTCATCTGATTAAATGGATGGCTGTTCCGTTTTTTAAAGATTCTCGTCCTAAAGCGCACGCATCATCGCAGGCTCGACTCAAAGTTCTGTTTTTCTCTGACCCACATACGGAGCTGAGAGGCAGGTTTAAAATGGCTGCTTTAAAGCTAAATTTACCTGCAGCTACAACAAAAGTAACCTAACCTAAAACTTCTCACAAATCAACGCCGGCCATGGAATCAGATCTTTTCCAATGAGAGATGTTCTTAGAGAATAGTATTTTTTAATTTACCCTTTATTTATCCAGGTAGTCTCATTGAGTCACGAGGACTCATTTTCAACAGACCTGTTTTGGGAGCAGATGGTGGGGGTTAAGGGCCTTGCTCAGTGGCCCAGAGTGGGGGAAATGAGGGTGGAGGCAGGTGTGGGTGTTTCACCTTTCCCACCCACATTTTAATGTTGTCAGTTTGGGGAATTGAACCGAAGACCTTCCGATCACAGGCCCACCTTCCCTAACCTCTGCGCCATCACGCCCCTAATATCTTACCTGTTGGAGATAGCTTTTTGAATGACACTGGTTTGGAGAAATAGAGTTTATCGCTACGTTAGTTTTACCTCAGAAGTCAGAACTTGGACCTAAGAATAACATCACCTTCAAATTTACTGTTTCTTGTTGCACCTAAAAATAAATCTGTTGCATTTTGTAAAAAGTTGCATTCAGTGTGACGATGTTACTGTTTTCCTATTTTTCTCTTTACGTTTTTGCAGTCTAACTACTTGTGCGTACTTGGTGCTATTTTAGCTGAGGCTGTTGATGCTGGTTTTTGTAACTTTATCATTTTTACCCATACAGATAAAAAAAAAAACTTTTCAACTTCTTTAAAAACAATGTTCTTTCGGAAACCTGTTTCAGCTACTGGCTTTATGTATGTGTTCCTAAGATACTTCTATTTTATTTTCTAGCATTCTACTTTTAGGTTTTAGCTATTTTAACTACTTTTAGCTAGCTTTTTGCTACTTTTAACTTTTGATTATTTGGGTACTTTTTGGCTTGCCTTTTGCCACTTTGCAATTCCAAATATTTTGTTTCTTTTAGCTTTTAGTATTTTGCCGCTTTTAGTTTTATTTAGTATTTTTCTTCATTTTGGCTTTCAGCTAGCATCTGCTGTTTTAAAAGCTTTAATAACTCCTTTTTACCTTCGTTATTAAATGTCAGTCATTCAGCTATCAGCATTCATGCTCCATTTTAAAATATAATGCAGATTTTTTTTTTGTTTTTAGCCACACGTTCATAACATATTGTTGGGTTGGTCATTAGCTCCATTTAGGTGTGAGCTCAAAGTAATCTTTGGCTCAAGTTTGACTAATTTTAGCTTGGACTAGCCATTAGCTTGTCCATCTGGTCAGAATTAGCTGTTAGCTTGGACTAACCAATAGCTCAGAATGGTCATTAGCTCAGGTTAGCCATTAGCTTGGACTAGTCATTAGCTTGGAACAACTACAACTCTATGTGTTAACACAAATTAGATGTTAGCTCAGATAAGCCACTAACTTTGATTAGCCATTAGTTTGATCTAAGTTGCTGTCTTGCTAAGGTGCTATCTTGAACTACCCATTAGCTAAGACTAGTCATTAGCTCAGAATCACAATTAGCTTGAATTAGGTGTGTTTAAATTAGCAACAATTTGGATTAGGTGTTAACTCAAGATAGTGGTTTGCTCAGATTAACCGTTAGTTTGAACTGGTAATTAGCTCAATTTCAGAGCTAAATCAAACTAGTCATTAGCTCAGATTAAGCGCTAGCTTTAACTAGCCCTTAGCTTTGACTTGCCATTAGCTTGAAATAACCAGCTAATAATTAGCTTGTCCATCTGGTCAGAATGAGGTGTTAGCTTTGTCTGTCCAGTAGTTCAAAATAGCCATTAGCTCAGATTAGCCATTAGCTTAGAATAGTCATTGGCTCGATCTAGATGTTCGTTCAAACTCAGATTAGGTGTTAGCCTGTAAATAGCTATTATCTTGGACTAGCTGTTAGCAAGTCAATCCAATCAGTTAATTTCTCTAAACTGAGGTTGTTCAAAGAGCTATGTACAACAGGTAAGATGCTAATTGTTCATCCCCTTTCACCTTACTTTAAGCTAGTGATGGTTTGCAGAGCCCCGTGTTAAAGTCCACTATTTGGCTCCCAGTGTGGATAGACACAAGATAATTTGGACTGTGGCAAAAAGCAACGTGAAGATGAGCAAATAAACATACAAACTTCTGTCAGATTAGACCACATTAGACGCTGTCGATGTCTCTGGGAATGTTAGCCAATGTTTACACAATGGTGAGAAAGAGATGTGTCCAAACAACAGAAAGGGCAGACAGTTACACACACAGAAGACCACACACTCGCAGTCTCTCACACACCTGAGGACAGAGGGATGGGTCAGGAGTTCAGGGAGCCAGAGCATCTCACCTTGGTTTCCCTTTCCTCCAGGAGGGTCTCGAGCCTCTTCTGAGCGGCCCGGCCCTCGTGGTCGTCGCTCACGATCAGGATGATGTGGTTCCAGTTGAACTCGCGCATCAGGTCGAACCAAACGTGCGCCTGGTGGGAGTAGGGGGGGACGGTCCGCAGAAAGGACAGGTGGATACTCTGTAGAAGCAGGATGTGAAGACACAGATGAGTCACCAGTTACTGATGAATGATTCTTTCTCAGGCTCATTGAATGTTCGTCTTCATCTGACTGACTTTTGGTGTCAGTCTAATTCAAGATGGCCGCCGTAACGAAGCAACATTACACAATGGCTGCAATGTCAATGTAATTTTATGGCTTAAATTTTATAAACACCCATTTGTTTTAGAATGAGTCTGACTTTAACATCACACTTAGTTGTAGCTTTTTCTTTCCACCTGTTTTTGATCGTATAAAGTCAGATTTACAAAAATTGTGCCCAGCTGGGCAGAAACAACACGCTTCTTGTTCCTAAGCTCGGAGCAAATTCGTCTGGGCACAGACCATCATGGTTGTGGACGTTGGACTGAGAAGTTCAGACTGATACAAAGAGCACAAAATTATTAATTATTGGAAAAAAACAAGTATTTTTTAATGAACAAGAAGCTGACATGGCAACAACAACAAAAAAAAAAAAAATCCAGTGACGAAACTGAAGGAGTCACAACAACGCCAGACAGATCAGATGTGAAAAGATGGACTTTAAGGACAGAAGATAGGGACATCTGGGCAAAAAGATAACAAGAAACAGGTGTAAGTGGGCGGGGTGGAACCGGGGAGAGGAAAAATACTGGGAGAATGAACCGGCGGCACAGGAGAACAACTTAAATCAAGTACAGAAAAATAAACATTACAGTTGAAAAAAATAAACAACGGAAAGGTACAGATCTTGACCCTAACTCCCTTTTTTCCACCAAACATTAAAATTTCTTGAGGCAGCTGCTTCTTAAGGTCTCATTTCTGTAGCGTTTCATTTCTAAAACATTATTAATGACAACCTTTCTCGTTTCATCAGGAAACCCATTTAATCACAGCTGCTTTAATGTACTCTGATGGGACGTTTAATCTGAGGAAGCTCCTGCGGACGCCTCAGAGGAGCTCCTCGTTCCCTCGCCTCCCATCCATCACCCACCTTGTCAGAGTAGATGGACATGCGGGTGGTGAGGCCGACCACGGGGATGCGGTAGAAGCCTGCGGTGTAGGAGACCGGCGTGGGAGTGAGGTGGTCGCTGGACTGAGGAGGGTGACTCACCAGGATGGCATAGACCTGCAGAGACACGGAGGAGTAATCCATCACTGTGACACAACATGGAGATTTATTTCTCCTCCTCTACTCGCGCTGACAATTTAAACCATCTGTGATGTCCTTATACTTTGCTTCCTCTGAGCCAGGTGTTTTCTAATCTTTTAAAGTGCTTCTGATCAATAGTTCTTCAAACTTTCTGAAGGTCTTTGAAGTTTAGCTTTTTCACTTTGGCTGCTTTTTACTCTTGTCTGCCAAGTTTTAACTGATTGTGTTTGAAAACTTTGAAAAATGAAGAAGTGGAGGATAAAAACAGGACATGCCAGACCCCCCCCCCCCCCCACCCACACACACACACACACACACTCACACACAAACAAACTTATTTCAAGCAGATGCCTCTAAAACCTGGATGATACATCACACTTCGGCTGATTTTTAGCTAACAGTGTTTTGGAAATCACCAATTTGTTGCTGTTTTTCATAAATTTTATTTAAAAAATTGAACCAAATTGTGTTTTTTGTGACAGTAAACTGGTAGCAAAGGGACAAATTCAACCTAAAACTGGTCTTTTGTTAAGTTTTCTGTTTTGCTGAGACAACACTGGTTCAGTATTTAAAAAATATATAGATAAATAAACAAGACATTGCACTGAAAACCTTCAGGTACTAGACTGAAACACACACAAAATAAAATTAAAGTTTAAGCTGCAAAATTTCCAAAACCCAAGCTGTAAAGGAAAATTGACACCATTCTTTCCCAATATTTTCCCCATAGAAATAAAATAAGAATGTAAAAGATGTTCTTTTTAAAGCTCCTTCAGGATTCAGGGTCTATTTTTATTTCCTTTTATTCTACTTTTAGCTTCCAGATAGTCTTTTGCTTCTTCTCTTTCAGTTACTCTTTTGCTACATTAAGCTTTTAGCCAAGAAATTTTTTTTTTTGCTTCTAGCTATCTTTTTGCTAGTTTTATCAAGCCTTTTGCTACTTTTAGCTTGGCTTTTGTTTATATTAGCTTTTACTAGTGTTTTGCTTTGTTAGCTAATGTTTTTTGCAAACATTAGCTTTTAGCTGGTCTTTTGACACTTCTAGCCTCTAGCAATTTTTAGCTAGTTTCTTGCTATTCTTACTAGCTTTTTGCTCAATTTGGCTAGTCTCTTGCTACTTTTAGCTTGCCTTTTACTACTCTATGCTTCGAGCTAGCCTTTCAATAATTGTACCTTTTAGTTATTGTTTCGCTAGGTTTACCTTTTGGACACTAGAGCTATTATTAGATTTCACTTATCTTTAACTACTTTTAACAAGCCTTTATTTACTTTTAGCTAAGGTTTTGCTAATGTTAGCATTTTAGCCAGTGCTTTCTTACTTTTAGCTAATGTGTTGCTACTTTGAGCTTTTAGCTAACCTTTTGCTACACTTAATTTTTAGCTACCATTTTGCTACTTTTAATTTCCATCTAGCCTTTTTCTACATTTATCTATCCTCTTGCTAATTTTAGTCTCCAGCTACTTTTATCTAGCCACCTGCAGCTTTTACCTATCCTTCAGCTACTTTTATCTAGCCTCCAGCTATTTTTTATCAAGCCTCCTGCTACTTTTATCTAGCCTCCAGCTATCCTTTGCTTCTAGCTAACCCTTTACAACTTTATGGTTTGGCTTTTGCTACATTTAGTTTGTAGGTTCTAGCTATCTTTTAGCTTCTTTTAGCTACTTTTTTCTACACGTATCTTTTATTTAGTGTTCTGTTTTATCAGCTCAGTTTCAGCATCTTCAGTAACTTTCAGCAATTCGTTCATATTTAGTTTGAATCAGTTTTGAGCAGATTTCAAACCATTGTTTAAATTTTAAAAAAGGGCAACAACTTTATTTTATTTACAAAATAAACAAACAACTGATTTCCTTTTCAGTTTATATCAAACATTAAAACATCAGACAGAATCTGGGACATTTTTCAGCCTTTTAACCAACGCGACAGCTGCTCACACTAATTCAGCCGAGGCTGAAACAGCTGGGGTTTTTTTGTAGCTAAAGATGAATTAAGCTCATTGATGCTTTAAATGCAGCACAGTCGTCTTTTAATGAGTTCAACAGCTGCTCTGAAATGTTGCACTGAAAAGGTAAAAATATTATTTTCGACCCACTTCCTAAAGAACAGTCAGGATGAACTATTTTTTGTCAAACGGAGCCGGGGAGGAAACTGGGGTGGGGGAGTGACGTTGGCAGAGCCGTGCAGGCCTGGATTATTGGATCCGAGTGGTCCGTATGGTTGGGTCAGAAATGAGGTCTCTCTTCCAAGGACTGCTCACGGGCAACGAGTCCTCCATCTGCCGCAGAGTGTCCCGCTCGGCGAATCTTAACACCTACGAGCTAATCTCATGTGATTAAAGCCTCCGAGGGCTTTCTGTCGAGCTCAGCCGAAGAGTGTGAGAAGTGTCGGCTGTGGTGTGAGGCCGGATGGGTCAAAATTATTCTGCGACTCTATTATAGAGGACATGACAGCCGAAGCTGTGGGTGTATTTTTATTTTTTGTGTGTGGTTAAAGCCTAATTATGTGTAGGAGAGACGGGGAAATATTCACGCCTCAGAATGCAACAATGTTTTTCTTGAAAGCTTCCAAATCCGAGGACGGTGCCTTTCAGCGTGCTCTGACTTGCTCGTCGTGCATTTCTTATTAAGTGTGTTTTTGTGAATTACTTGTGTCTGGCTACAAAAAGAGGAAAAACCCTGAAAACCCAATGTCTTCAGGACTGCTTCCTTCATGGCTTCTCACCAAAAGGTTGTAGAGATTAAATGAACTCCAGAGGAAGTTAAGTTTTTCACATTTTCAGCCCCTGACCCGATCCTTTGCACTTCAGTAGCTCTGCAGCTGTGCAGCCGGACCATCATCTGAGATATGCCTCCAACCTGAGGCTATTTTTGGACGTCAGAACAGATGGATCTGTGGAGATCAGAACCACACAAAATGGAAACACGTGTTCCTTGTTGTTGTATAATCAGTTCCTAATGTTTGGATAAAACTCAAATTCTGAAAAAAGTTGAGATGCTGTGTAAAATGTAAATAACAGAATCCAATCTTGTAATCCTGGATTTTATTCATATATATCAAATGCTAAAACTAATTATTTGTACATTTTCTTTAAATAACACAATACATTTTTGAATTTTAAGCCAGCAACATGTTAACAATAAGTCCCAAAAGGTTGTAAAAAAAATAAAATGCTGTAACTCAGTGGTGCCCAAACTTTTTCTGCTGGGTCCCCTTTTGATTTATATGAAAATAAGAACTACAACCTCTTAAATAAAATGTTTGCTGTGTAATTATTTTAAGTGTACTGTATCTGTTTTTAGTTAGTTTGTTTCTTTTTACTGTTAATATTCAACAAAATCCCCCATGAAATTAAAAAAATTAAGGTTTTTGAGCAAAAAATGACAGATTTAATTCCACCTTCTTTTCAATACTTCTAACAGCCTGGTCCCAGATAACTCCCTTTACAAGAAAATAAAATACAAAATAAAGAAAAAGCTGTAAAACTACAAAAAGCTAGTGGCGCGAAATTAAGCTAGCGTTAGCCTAACTGACACACGAGCTAGCATTAGCTTACTATACATTCAAATACCATTTAAAAACGTTCTTTAGTCAAAGAAACAACGTTTCTATTCCCACACAAGTACATATATACAACTTATAAACGTGAATCGAGCAAGAAAAATGTATTAAATCAGGACATACCTCCGACATCCTAAAGCAGCGACTAACACCGTCTTTGAACTGCCAGGTAGGATCACGTGACTACAGTGCGCTGCGTTCAAGTGCAGTAGGACATACTCACATTTCTACTGCATTTTATTAGAAGTACCTACTGCGCCAAAACAAATGAACTGATTTTCTTAACAAATCATTACTGGTTTGGTGGAAATTGAAGCTTTACTTACTGTAATATTATTAACCCGTTACACTAGCAGTGTTCAACCGAGTCTCTTAGAAGTAAAGATGGGCAGAGGACCACAAGTGTGCAAAATACTTCAGAATAATATGAATCTCCAGCCGTCTACATCAAATCATCAAGAGAAATCTGAGCTCAGAGGTCGAGGCTGAAAGTCAATATTTTTATGGTCTTCGGGCCCTCAGGGGCCACTGCATTAAAACCAGGTCTGGTGGACTCGGGAACCTCCACAGATCATTTTCTGCTGCTTAAAGCTCAATCGGACAAATAAGTCAAGACAAATAAGTGGAGAACCGTTCTGCAGTCAGAGGAATTGAAAATATTTTCTTTTTTGGGAACCACTGTCTCCAAGTCCTCTGCACTGAAGAGGAGAGGTACCGGACCGATTGCCAGTCCACAGTACAAAAGCCTGCCTCTCTGATTTTATGGGGGTGCATTAGTGCCTCTATCATGACACATCTGGAAAGGTGCCATCAATGCAGGAAACTAGAACATCTGCTCCCATCCAGCAGAAAATCCAGCAGGATGAGACCAGAACGGGACAACATTCCCTCCAGAACTGGTCTCCTCCTTCACTAAATGTGGTTGTGGTTCGAGTCTGAATTTGGTGCAAAGATCGTTTAAAAAAAACCAAACACTTTTTTGTGTCCTGATCCCACCCAGCTGGTGTCACCTGCAGTGATTCAGACCCGCACGGGGCAGCTGTGTGTGGACCCCCTACCTGGCTGGAGATCAGGTCCTCGCACACCGACAGAGCCATCTGGATGGCGTTGGGCTTGTGCGTCACCGAGATGGCGGTCAGCTTGAACTTGTCCCGGCCGTAGACCAGGTTGGCCTGGTTCACGGCGTCCTTGAAGACCTGCTCGTACCTCTTCTGGCTCAGGACGGCCCCGATGTTGACGATCTTGGGCTCGCAGCCGGCCCGCGCGCAGGAGCACGAGAGGAGCACGGCCAGCAGAAACAGACGCATGGCGCGCAGCACCGTGCGGCACAGCGGTGCAGCCCGGTCCCTTTCCTCCCCGGTGGCGGCTCGGCTCGGCTCGGACGGAGGAGCGCGGACACAATCCAGGTGGGCGGTGTGCGCGCGAGGGAAGGAGGACAGGAAACGAGGACTGTGCGTGGGAAAAGGCTGGTTATGTGCAGTGCGGAGGAATGTGCATGTTCAGATGAGGGACAGGGTGTCCAGTGGACATCCAGGCCGCCTCATCGAGCTGCCTCCTGCAGAATCGCGTCTTGAAGCTTTAAAGAAAGACTAAACGGATCCTTCCAGCCTCCTCCGCGCGGCTCGGTGCTCAGTCCGGTCCGAACCTACCGACGCGTCTCCGGCTGGTCCTCCGGGCTGCTGTCCTTGGTGCTGACAGCTGTGCATGCGCGCCGCGGCGATGCTGCGCGCTCCCGACTCATCAGTGTTGGGAATTTATTTATTTTTTTTTACCCTGCGCAGAGACTGAGCTCCTGAATCTGAGGAAAAAACGTGTTCAGAGAAAGATGAGGTTCGACTGAGATATTTATTTACTAATTGAATTGCGCATGCGCATTAAGGAAACGCGTTCGGCTTCATTTGAAGCTTTATCCTCCAAACTGAGCAGAAAACTGATTTGTTGCTTTTAAAATCTGCATAAAAACCGGAGCTGGAGCGAGTCGAGCCAGGTTTTAGTCTCATCTACAGCTTTGAAGACGCAAGCCGAATCGCCCTCCCCGTTGCCATGGAAACAGGCTCCTCTGCCACAAGCGCGCGCTCCCCTCAGATGAGCTCTTCTTCTCTCAAGTCGAGACCATCATCAGGGCGAGCCGACAGCAGGGAGAGGAGAGGTGGGACACGTGACACAAACAACATGTTCTGGCAACATTTGTTGCAAAAGTTTATGTTATTGTTTTAATTTGGCCTCCTTTGACAGGATGAGATGAAAATAATTTCAACCACAGTCCAGAGAAAAACACTGAACAGCTCAATTTCAACAAGTATTTCAGAAACTTCACACGCTCGAGCATCAAAACGTGGAAAATATATACATTTATGCACATAAACATATATATTTAATATTTCAATTCAACCTTTATTTAGACAGGTAAATCCCATTGAGGCTCAGGGACTCATTTACAAAAAGACCTGATTTCTTAAAGAGCGATGACATCAGTGGACAATCGTTAAAAAAACAGCTAGATTATAAGGTGATTTAGAAAACTAAAACCAGGAACATGTCTGTTAAGTTCCTGACAAAAAACAATGCAGAGTTTTAAAGCCACTTAGAGAGGTCAAGGTCGAGAGCTTCAGATCTTTTTGCAAGATATTCCAAGAAACAGGAGCGGAGTAGGAGAAGGTCCTTTTGTCTAGTTCAGTTCTCACTGAGGGAACACTGCAGGTAATAATGTCCTGAGAGCGCACGCTGTAGCTGCACTCACACAGAGACATGTAGGAGGAGATGTATGAAGGCGGCAGACCAGGAAGTGATTTAAAGATGAAAATGTACCAGTGGGAGAGTCTGTGTGAAGTTAATGATGACCAGTTAACCAGTGCATACTGGGTGCAGTGGTGGGTATGGTAGTTGCAGGCAGTTATGAATAATGCACCGTGATAGGCAGCATCCAGTATCTGCAGAATTTACCTTTATTTAAAAGTTATGGTTTCGTTGAAATTCATGGGATTTAAAATTTTGACTTATTTTAAGTCTTTGATTTGCTCATGATTGGTTTTAACTTCTGTTCCACAAATTTTCTTGCTTTAGCATCACATCTGTTACATGTAGCTTTTAGCTATGATTTACTTAATTTTAGCATTTAGTTAAATGAAAGAAAATTCTGTCTTGTAGTTACTGTTAAGTTTTTAAAATATTTTGTATTTAACTTATAGCTTTTAGCTATTTATGTATACTAACGTTTAGTGTTTTTCTAATTTCACATGCATTTTAGCTACGGTTTTGCAAATTTTAGCTCCAGATTTGCTCATTTTAGCTTTTAGTTTTGTCAGTTTTAGCTCTTCCAACCTGGTTTACGACTTTAGCTTTTATTTGTCTACTGTTGGGCTCGTTTTTAGTTTAACACTTTGAACGTTTAACATTCAATGCATAGTTGTAACTACGGAAGCCTGGAAGCTGTGGAAATTACCGTAAATCCTGGAAAAAAATGCACCACTTACAAATATTAGCACAAATACTTTGATGTGCAAAAGTAAATATGATTAATTATTCAATTTAACAACCGATCTGACTTCAGATAAGCCTTTATGGGTTTGGGTCTGGTCAGGATTTATAACTCGAATAATTTTAAAGCATCTTTTAGCTGCAGTCCAAGAACACCTGTTTAATTTTCCCTACAGCGTAAATAAAAACACAAAATTATTCCAGAGGGAGAACAGGTTGCTAGTCGAGGTGGACTCAAAATGCTTTATGTACTTTTAAGAAAAAAACAAATAAAATACAAAAACACACCTGTCCATGATCTTGGGTGAGCAATAGAGTCCAGGATTTGGTGTTCCTCTGGGGCTTGGTCTAAGAATCCTAACTTTTAAAGATGATTAGTTTTATTAAAGTGAATAAAAGAAAGCCCAGGAGGGGATGAGTACCCTCAGCTGCATATACAAGAGAAGAAAGATCTCGCTCATCATCAAACAGCTGAAGGGAACTGAAAGAAGTTTGAAAGATAAACAAAGCGCTGGATAATTATCCTCCCAGCCAGAGCGAGGCTGTCACAGCCAGTTTAGTCCCGACAGCGTGAAGGATGAGCCCTTCCTCGCTGCTCCTCCAGCCCACTCATCCTCACAATACAGGACCAATCCACTCTCCAGGCTTTGTGTAAGAAGTTGTCTTGTTTTTCTGCTGGGTTGAAAAATGAAACTGCACCTCTGCAAGGAAACAACACACATTACAGAAAATACTGCACACAAAGACACATCAGGTAAAAACACTCTAATCCATGGAGATTCACACGTAACGGACAGATACTTGAGCATTTGAGCTTCAGCCCACACACACACACACACACACACACACACAAGTAATACACACCAGTACTAGACACACACAAGTAATACACACTCGCACCGCCCACACACAAGTAATACACACTCGCACCGCCCACACAGTCCTCTGTGAGGAAAGTGATGGTGAGTGGATGTGTGGTGTTTGTGTGTTTTACTCAAAGTGTGGGTACTAAGTTCTTTTTTACTTTAAAATATAGACTTGTCCTTATTTGTGATACAGTACAATATGATATAAAGTACTACGAAGCATAATATTGTAGCTAGCAACTATCGGGGATCACACTTTTTAGCCTTCTGAGGAAAGTTGAATCCAAGGAAGAGAAGCCGATTGTCGAACTTTGGATGGAGCAGTGTTTGTCATTTGCAGGTTTCAGTGATGCAGTAAAGTTCAGGCTCACCAGTGGACCAGATCTTCACCCTTGCAGGGTTGCCATTTGGTTCTCTGGTCTACGTGTATTGTGGATTTGAAGGACCGTGTTCCTTGAGTATGGGGTGCCAGGGTTGCTTAACGGGTAATCTGGACCGTGTAAAACCAAAGCCAGAGCTGTGTCTGCATTCGTGGCACAAAGTCGAGCTCTGCAGGTTGGACTCTGCCAGGACCATCGCTGGTTGTGGTCTTCATGGATCACAAGGTGCCGTTGTGGAGAAGAGGGTGTTCTGCTTTATGCAGATGATGTGGTTCTGTAGAGCTTTTACACCCTTTGCTTATCACTCATCACCAAGAAGGGAGAGCAATAATGTAACGGCCTTTGTTTATATGTATAGGTTTTCTGCTTGTTAGCAAAATATCTCATGAACCATTGAATAGATTTTGACACACTCTTAAGAGATGCATTTTAAGTGGTTATTTGCACGTTTCTGACCAAAACAGTTTTAATTCAGCTGCATTTCTGTTCCACAAAGTGACTCGAGCCATCTTAGGGGCCACAAAACCTCATTTTTGTTCGGCCCGTCGATGAAAAAAAAAAAAAGATGGTGTAAATGATGAATCAGCCATGTTTGTAAGATGCTAACTGGGAATGAAGTGGAGCGCAGAACAGACGGAACATGTTGCTCCGCAGCTCCTACAAGCTTTTAGCGTCTAACACGACGGCGGCTCGCTTCTCTGCAAACTGATGCAGCTTTTTTTTTCCCCAACGACCTTTTCGTCGTACGAAAGCGGGCGTGCCAAAGCGGAACAAGCCTCTGCAGACAAGACGGGTTTATCCCGGTGACTGTGTGCTCCTAATGAAGAGCTCGCTGGATGCAGGGAGCGACACGGGCCGTGCTGCATCAGTGTTTTGACAGAAATGATGGGGCCGTGCAAACGAGCGGCCTGCAGGAGCCGTGCGCAGACGGACGCCTGCCTGTTTGATGTGTTTCTCGTGTAGTGCGAGGGTTGTTGCATAAATTTTAGATGTGACAGCGCCCCCGGTTCTTCTTGCTTGTCTGAAAGCTGAGTTAAAGTACTCAAGCTGCAAAAAGCACCACAACATCCCCAGATTTAAGGTTTAACATTTATTTATTAAACACTTAAAAGTCCGGAGGGATGCTGCGGGCTTTACCAGCATGATTTCTACACTGAACGAAATATAAACTTTAGTCTTTGCTCCTTTTTCCATGAGCTGAACTCATATGTACGCCACATGGCTTTTTCTCTCAAAAATTGATCATAAATTAGTGTAAAACTGTGTTAATGAGCACTTTTCCTTTGCTCAGATAATCCATCCATCTCACAGGTGTGGCATATCAAGATGCTAATGATTGTTGCACAGGTTAGGCTGCCCACAATAAAAGGCTACAATAAAATGTGCAGTTTTAACACACAGCACAATGCCACAGATGCAGCCATCTTTAATCACGTTGATTTCAAGAAGTAATCAATTGTTGATCATTATTTTCTAAGTTCAGTTAAAATTTGTCAGGTTCTACATGAGGTACGTTGCTAACTGTAAGACAAACGAGTGCACAAACTGCAGTTACATTACTGCCCGCCCCCCGAGGTAGCAGGTGATAAAAAAAAAAAAAACGAGTTTAAAATAGACTGAACTGCACTTTAAATTTGGCTCCATTTAGATTATGTGGTAAAGAGCGATCTACAACAGGTAAGATATTAACCATTCATCATCTTTCCTCAAAACCCCACTTTAAATATCTGAATTATTCCTTTAAAGAGAAATAATTTAAGAACTAAAACTCTATTACTAATAAAACTTAAAAGAAAAATCTTAAAAACAACCAGGTATAGTTCCAGTCGATCGATTGTAGATATCTCTATATATATATCTCTATCTATATCTATTTATATCTATCTCTATCTATACATCTATCTATCTATATCTCTACATCTATCTATAGCTCTATATATCTATCTATATATATCTCTATATATATCTATCTCTATAGCTCTCTATAGCTCTCTCTATCTCACTCTATCTATATATATTTATTTATATCTATATATAGATATATCTATATATAGATATATCTATATATCGATGTATAGATATATCTATATATC